TCACGCTAAAAAAAAACAACTACTGTCCCGCAAAAAACATTATCATCAGATTTACGTATAGTCTTAGGCAATATACATAACATTATACAATCACATATATAGTTATTTAGAATCCTCTAAAAGCTTGTTTATTTATTATTACTATTATTTATTAGTATTATTTTTATTATTATTATTATTTTCAGCTTCTCACACCTAATTCACTACCATCACGCAAAATCTACTATCGTTTGTGTTTATATCATAGACCTTAACGTCAAAATCAGTATTTCTGGCTATATCAATGACACCACTCTCTTTCAAGCAAAAATTACAATCCAACTATACTAAAAAATACAATCCCGATCAATGATCACGCCAAATAAATTACATGAACTATCCCGCAAAAAAACTACCACCAGATGTACGTATATTCTTAGGCAATATTGTATATTATACAATCACACAACCCCCACTATTTTCGGCTTCTCACGCCTAATTCACTACTATAAAATCCATTCATATTTTAAGGATCATATTGTGAGTAATTTGCAATCATTTATTTTGTGGATGAATCTTGCGGCAGCCATGGTAACGGCGGCCATAAAAGAAAATGAACAATTTTTTGTACGTTTTTTTAAATCCCTAAAAGTCAAGACATCACATGCTTTTTCAGTTATCTTATACTTATAATATATATTATTATTGTTTGAGAAAAAAAATAATTTTGAAATCAGTCATTGAAAATTTTTTAAAGCCTTATTGTTTTACTTACAAACATCAATATCTTTAGGTAGAAATAAGATATTTAAAAAGCATGCGATGTCTAGCTTAGCTTTATTTGGACCACATCTCTGCCAAATGTCGTTTAAATCCATTCATAAACTTCTGACTTTTAGCAAAAAATGTACAGAAAAATATGGTTTCGAGGAAAACGCAATTTTCACTCAAAACTTGTTCTCAGAAGTTGTAAATCACTACCTTTCAAAAGCATTTTAGGAGAAATATATTAATTTGAGGCATAATACTTGGTAAAATGACGCAATAGTGGCTAAACTAAAGGAAAATGTTTTTTTAAAAACTGATATTTTAAAGCTAAACCCTCATTTCAGGTGCCATCTCTTAGTTACTGAGGTACTGGTCTAAAAAATATTGGGATAGTGTTTTGAGCACAAAAACAACCGCAGTTAGTAGTTGGTAGTGTTTATTGAAGATTGACGACAGTGTTTTTCGCGGGGGTAGTCAATCTGGCGTGTAAGCGGTAGATAGTATTTTTATCTTAGAGATAGTGTTCATAGCGTACGGTAAAGTCACTAGGGTAGTGTTTACAGCATGTGCAAAAAACACTACGGTAGTGGTTATGGCCTGAAAGCTTACACCAAAACCGTTACGGTAGTCTTTATACTTTATTGCACAGTAGTGTTCTGAGCAGAGGCGAAGCGTCTATATAATCAAATAATCACTGCTTCCCTTCCTAATTTTGACACATTGTCGAAGTCAAATTCACCCATAGACG